TTTAGTTTTAGTAATTTAAGTCTCCCGTAAAATTTTTGTTTTCTTATCTTTCGGTCATGTTTCTTTGAAACAAATGAACCGATTTTAAGATTTTTTTTTTAAATTTATAAGGTTTCCAGATACGAATCGAATAGTTTAACACTATATTGAGTTATATAAACAGAGATATACGTAAAAACATAGGAATGGAACAAAAGCAAAGTCAATTGAATAAATAGTTTTTTAGAAAAGTGTGCCGAAAGTTGACTCTTTTTATACATTGTTTTAAGGCGACTTCGACGTCCCCTTAATTATTAAATTTTGAATAGAAAATTAACCATAAATAAAAGGTTTTTATATCAATTTGAAAATTTTTATCTTTAAAAGTGAAAATCGACCAGTTCTGTAGATTTGTTCATATAGATTATTATTCTAATTTTTTTATTTGATAAATGTACTTGTTTGTTGTATTTTATTTAATTTTTAATTTTATTTTTATTATTTTTACTTTAATGATTTTACTTTTACCACTTTTATTAATTCTACTTATTATTATTTTTGGTCAATTTTAAAATTCGCGTCGAAATATTTCGGTCCAATTTGAAATTCGGACAAATAAATATTCTACTAAATTAGAATTCTTTATAGTTTTCGTAATTTAATTCACATAAACATTAATTTATTATTAATAATATCAATATTTATAATCCTGACTTCATTTGGTTCGAATTCGAACTGATAAAAGCCAAAAAAAAAATAAGGATTGATTCTATAATATTGCACTTATATGATATTGACATTTATACAGAAATTGCGCAATTGAATGCATGATAATTGAAAAAATGAGATAAGATGATAATTTTAATTGTTCGATGATAAGCTAATTTAAGAAGTAATAAAATTATACACTCAAAAAAAAAACTAGTAGATTTGACTACTTTTTAACTACCCTGAGTGATTCAATAGGTCCTCAACTGAATTTAAAAATTTATATTTACTACCGAAAGTAGTAAAAAGAACTAAGAATTTAGTTGATGTAATTAGATTTTGTAGTTGTTTTTGCAATTTAACTACTTTTTTTAGTTATATAAACTATTATTCTTCAACTATATTCAAAGTAGTAAAATCAACTACACAAAAATTGTTAGTAAAACTAAAAAAGTAATTAATTTGACAACTTTCAACTCAACTAGGTAATAGTAGTTAAAGATTTCGACCGAATTTTTTTCAGTGTATGAATAATTTAATACAATAATCATGGAGATCAACGTAAAAGAAATTACTCTCTAAACCTAAATAAGTAAATTTAAAAAATTTTCATAGTAAACATATTTTATATCTATTGATACTTGAAATTTACTTATATGTATGAGGAATCTTTTTTAGATTAAGAAAATACACTTGTTGGCGCTAACGTCATTGTTAAACAAATAACTTATATGAAATTTCCCAAGTTTTCGACTCACAAAGTATTTGGTGAATATTTGAAAAGCGTTTTCGTTTGTTTTCTTTGTTCGAAATTACTTGTGAAATTATAAGTAGGTGTGTCATACCATCTTTTTGAACAATATGATATTTCTAAATACACAAAAAAAATAATAGTACGTTCAAAAGGTGAAAATCAATAACACCAAAAATTATTTTTATGTTATGTTTGTGCAGAAAATATTTTTAATTTGATTTTTTTGTATTTATTGCAGAACAGAATTTATTTTGTGAAATAATTGTTTTTACAAATCTACCTTTTTACAAATAACCGTCTAGAAACGCAAAATTAGGTTACTTGACTTGAGAATTTTCAAATCTATTTTGTTTCTTATTATTTATTTCTATTTCATTATTATTCTATTTCTGATAAAAATTTCTTTTTTAATGACTTAATTCTTGAAGAACTATCATGAAATTATGATTTATAAATTAATTAATGAATAATTTTACTTAAATGTTTCAAAATTAATTGAATTTTTGAAAGAGTTGCGTTTACAATTTTCATAAATAAAAAAACTTTTTTTTTTAATTTTTAAAAGGTTTTAATTTAAAATTTTACAAAATTTCAATTTTGAATGAATTTTATTAGAAATTTTAAAGAACTTAGATTTTTGAAAAATTTTATAATAATTCAAATTCTTCTGAAATTAGTTAACTTTTTTAATTAATATTTAATTAATTATTAAAAATAATGGATTTATAAAAGAATTTTAATTAAAAATACTAAAAAAAATGAATTTTGAAGAAGTTACAAATGATTGCAGAAATTCAATTATATATGTTCTAAAATTAAAAAAAAATTCTCTTCAAAATTTCAATTATTTTTATAAATAATAAAATTCTTCTTCAAAAATTCAATTATTTTCAAAAAATTTAATAAAATTCTTGGTAAAATTTGAATTATTTTTTAAAAATCTTCCTGAATTCAATGCTTTCCAAAATTTACTATTTTAAAAAAAAATTTCTAACAGAATCCAATTATTTAAATATAATATAATTCAATTATTTTTAATATACAATTTTTATCAAATTCCTCGAAGAATGTAATTATTCTTAAAAATTTTATTGAAATTCGTCAACAAAATTCAATTATTTAAAAATTTGTTGATAAAATTCTTTATAAGAATTCAATATTAAGAAACATTCAATTATTCAATTATTTATATTTGTATTTAAGTAATTGAACTTTGGTAAAATTTTTTAATAAAAATTGATTTAAAAATGAATTTTATTTAAAATTTTTAGATAGTAATCGAATATTTAAGGGGTTACACCACCCTGAACGCCTGAAAATTGGAAGGTATTTCAAAAATAAATTTTGACAAAACTATTAAAAATACAATTTTTTACTAATTATAGTATAAAAATATATATATTTAACTGTAAAAAAAATTTTGAAAAATGAAAAAATATTCAAAAATGGCGAAGATATGGCGTTTTTTCGAAACTACATTTTTCGGAACGGTGTACATGATTTCTCAAAAACTACTCAACCGATTCTCTTTAAATTTTGTACACAACTGCTCAATAACATTCTCTATGACATGACGTAGTATTTTTTTGATATGATTTTTTTAAAAAAGTTATACATTTTTAAAGAAAATTTTTTGTACCAAAAATTTTAGACTTTTTTTTAAGTGCTCCCATTTGCTCAAAAAATTTTTTCTTTAAGAACGGCTACGTTATGTCATAGATACTAACAATATTCTGTAGAATTAATTTTTTTAAAGAAGTTTATTTCAGTTTTTTTGAAATTTTTGGAAGTTTTCATTTTTTATAATATTTAATTTTAAAGAATTTCCGAATAATCAATTTATTATTTATAAAATTTTTAAAAAGCTCCGCTAATCACGGACTGCTAATGAAGGTAGAACAATTACAAACATAACCTAAAAATTACTTTGAAAAGATTAATTTAACATATTGATTACATGACTAGTTGTAGTTTTAATATTCACGAAGTAACGAAATTTAATAAATTTGTATATATAAAGTTGGAATCCATATATACAAAGAATATTAATTTTACAAGCGTATGTGTATGTAAATTAAATTTAAATCCTTTGCACTTAACGCGTTCACTTCGACGCACGCAATAGCCTAAAGGCAACGTCATCGATATCGATCTCATGATTGTATGTAATAATCAATATTTCAAAGGGATAATTTTATGAAAATATTTTTGTTTTTTTACCTACATTTTTATATTGCTGAATTCGTTCAGTTATGTTTATTAAAAACAAGTGTGATTTTTCAAATAATTAGAATTCTAACCTTAAAATATCTTCTTAGGAACGTTATAGATAAGGAACGAATCGTACATAAATAGGTTAAGTACTAAAAATCTTGAAATTGCCGTGGGAATAAAAATAAGTTTATTTATTTTTAACCCTTTCGTGCAGATTTTCAAAATTCAAAATGGCGGGCGAGATTTTCAAAAATTGCTTGAATTTGCTTCAATATTGTTATTCGAGGGTTTTTAGGGTCGCTGATTACAAATCCGATGTCAGTTTTTAAAAATTCAAACAGCGACCCCAAAAACACCCGAGTAACAATTTTGAAGCAAATTCAAGCAACTTTGGAAAATCTCGTCCGACATATTGAATCCGCCATTTTAAATTTTCAAAAACTAACAACGGATTCGTAATCAGCGACGTCAAAAACGACAGAGTAACAATTTTGAAGCAATTTTAATAAAATTTAAAAATATTTTGATAATTTGTTTAAAAATTCGGACATTTTGAATTTTTTTAATTTTCTAAATCTGACTCCAAATTCGTAATCAGCGACCCCAAAGATATATGAAAACGAAGTGTTGTTAAAAATTAGTCACTAAATGTCAATTAAACAATTAGTTTGTTACATAACTGTTTTTTATAAACATTTAATATGTTTCAAGTAAATGTTATTACAACTTTTTGTAATTTATTATTTTTTTAATTGTAGCAGCATCCATTCGGAATAGAAAGAAATCTACCGCCAATTAATTGGTTGACTTTTTTAAGAATTACATAAAATTTTCTAAGTGGGACATATCTGTCCCGGAGGCACGAAAGGGTTAATATACTTGTGTATTTATGTATTTCAAGGCAAGAAATTGTTAGGTTAAGTGGAAAAAATTATTTTAGTGCATTTTACATAATTGTGGGGGGACCGCATTCCATAAGTGATAATAAGTATATCAGAGACGTGCAAATGATCTCCGAAATTAATGTAGATCGGATTCTTTTTAAATTATTAGGGTCACTGAATTTAAAATTGATGATGGATTTTTAAAATTTCTATTGCGGACCTAATATGTCGATCAAAATTGTTACTGAAAAGTATACCTCGATTGTGAATAGTGGGCATTAATTAATTATAATTTTTTTATGTAACATCAAATTAAAACTCAACATCTGCATTTATTTATATTCTTTTTTTTTTATTATTTTGTATTTTTTTGATATTACTCTCTAAAGGGCCTTTAAGACCGTATATTACATTAAATAAATAAATTTTTTGTCTGTAATTTAATATTTTCTTTTTTTCAGGGCGCAGTATGATCCCAGAGTTGGACGAAACGTCTGACCTCAAACAAATTGTTTTGCATTCCTATTCATTCCTATTTATCGACTACCAAGACATCAACCACAGATTTAGAGGAGAATGACTCAAAGGGAGGACGTTCTTAAATTTGAGCAAGGTCGAATTAAGGCCTTGCAAGAAGAGCGTCTTCATATTCAGAAAAAGACATTCACAAAATGGATAAATTCATTTTTATTGAAGGTAAAATTTATAATTTCACCTCATTTTTAGTCATTTAATCTTTATTTTAATAATTTTTAATAATTTTTAATAAATTTTATGCATTCTTTCTTACAAGCCTACTTGTGTAGGGGAGAGTCAGGTAAGTTCGGTTTAGTCAGCTGAGTCCGTTTTTTAAAATATTAAACTACATATTAATCAATTAAATATAATAAAATTTTTAAAATATTTAAATATTTTTACCAAACAAAATGTAACAATAATAAACTAATAGAAACCCTCTTCATAAGGTGTTTGTTTCTATTTCTCTTTATCGATTAAATTACAAGCCAGAATATTTTTTAATAATAATAATATTAAATGAAATATTAATTAATTATTTAATTATTAAATATTAAAATCATTATTATACTTATAATTGTAATAGCTATAACTATTTTATATCCTCCCAATCATCAAACACACAGTAACTTCCGTTCCCCTTTGACATCTTTAATGTAAAAATGACTAATAGAAGACTAAATATGTAATATAATAGATGTAGGTCAAGATTTCTACAGAATTTCGAATTTCAAACTGTAAGCCTTTCTCAGCTTTTCCAGGTCAAATTTCTGAAAATACCAGTGAAATTTTAAACGAATTTCCCACTTTGACAAATTATTTTCAAAATTTCTAATGAAAAGTATCTAATTTATCAATAAATAATAATTAAAATAATTTATTTAAGAAGAGTTTTAATAATTTTTATTTTTTTGAAAAAAGAGTTTTGGAATTGAAAATGAAACAAAAAATGATTTAAAATTCACAATATATAAAAATTAAAATCGCTTAATTTTTCTAGAATTCATATCAATTTGAATAAAACAATGTCCCTTAAAATATAATTATTTGGATTGGATCAGTTCACATGGAATTACTCTAATGAGAAAAATAAAAAAGTTTGAAAAATTTAAAAATTTTCAAAAATTTAACGTCTTTTCCATTTTTTAATTATTTTTCAAATTTGCAATTAGAATTCTTCAAAAATACGATTATATTTCAAAATAATTTTTAAAACTAAACAAATAAAATTCATTAAAATATAAAATTTCTTTCAATGAAATTTAACAAAATTTTCAAATGTTTCAATAATTTTTTAAAATTATTTTCGGAAATGCAATTATTTAAAAAAAATTTTAAGTACCTCCTCAAAAAAGTCAAGAGATTAAAAACTTATTCTTATTTATTTTTTGACAGGAATTAAAATTTCATATATAATTTCAATGAAAAACCTTTTGAAATTGAATTATTTTTAAAAATTGCAATTGTAATTGTTCCAAAATTCAATTATTTTTTTTAGAATTTTTGAATTAAATTATTCAAAACTTTAAGAAGTTTTAAAGAAAAAATAATGTAGTTAATAATTTTTCAAAATAAAACTTTAAACATTTTTATACTTTTGATTCCCTTAAATTTCCAAGAAATTTAATTTAAAAACCTTTTAAAATTTAATTAATTCCTAAAATCCCTGTTATAACGCTTTAAATATTCAATTATTTTCTAAAATTTTAACAGAAATTTTTTAAATCAATTGCTATCAGAATTCAACGACGTGAATTGAATTATTTAAATAGAATAATTTATTAATTTTTGTAAATTCATGAAAAAATGTAATTTCAAAAATCCAATTATATTTATAGATAATTTTTAAAGATGAAAAAATACAATTCTCAATTCTTTTTCGACTATTTTCAAAAAATACCACTTTTTTCGACTTTAAAAAATTACGACTTTTTCGACTTTTCTTCCAAGTTTTGCGACAAAAACCACATTTTTGGTATAAAATGCAATTTATTTCGATTTTTATAGTGTAAAAAGTATAAATAGACAAATCTTTCAAAAAATATTTTTGAATCATTTTTCTAACTAAATTTTTGAAATATACAATATTCAAAAATTTTGTAAAATTTAACTGAAAATAATGGGTTTTTTCAAGTATTTAATTACAATTTTTGAGGAGTTTTAATTGCAAATTTTGAAAGTAATTGAATTCTCAAAAATTTCAATGACAAATCTTTAAATGTAAATTTAAAAATGAAAATTAATGAATAAATTAGCTTCTAAAAATTATATTAAAATATTTTTGAAAAAAGTAATACTTGTAGAACTTTTTCCTTGTAATTTTTTAAAATTCAATTATTGTCAATAATTTCAATTATGTACATATTTCCGAAAATTCAAACACGTAGAAAAGAAACATTAAAATTGTTTAGAATTATTTTTAACACTTTGGAAAAAACAATAATGTTCAACATTTTTTATTAAAATTCAACAAAAAATTAGTTTCTTTTAAATTGTAGAAAAGTTTTTTAAAAAAAAATTCAATTATTTTGGTAAAATTACATTTGCAATATTTTTAAAAAACTGAGCCTTATAATTCATAATTGTTTCATATTATAATTTTTTAAAATTCATTTTTATATTAGATTCATTTTTAATTAAAATTTACTTTTTCAGACTTATTAAAATTTTGGAGAAATCATGTTCAGTTTTAAAATTAAAATTCTTCATAAAAATTTGATTACATATTTCCTTTTATATTTTTCAAAAATACAATTATTTTTAAAAGATTTTACCAAATTTCAATTATTATAATATAATAATAATTAATTAATTATAATAATTAAATTAATTAATATTAATATAAAAATTTAGAAGCACTTTGTGGTACTATATCTTAAAATTTAATTCTTAAAAAACTGATTCTCGCCACAATAAAAAAGATAGTTTGTTTCACTTTTTGTCCAATTATCTGAAAACTGATGAATTATTCATTATTTTTTTATTCTGCATTTAATTGAATTTTATTAATAAACACAGCTTTTAATTTGATTGTAATGAATTTTAAAATCCTTTTTTAAAGGCTCGCATGGAGGTGGAGGATCTGTTTACGGATCTTGCAGATGGGAAGAAACTCTTAAAACTACTCGAAATCATTTCCGGTGAGCGTTTGGCGAAACCTAATAATGGACGGATGCGAGTACACAAGATTGAAAATGTCAACAAATCATTGGCATTTTTGCACACAAAGGTAAATTAAATATAAATATTAAAATTATCATTTTAATGATTACATTTTACTCGGAATTTGAAAATATCTTTAAATATTTCTCTGATCTTAAAAAATTATAGTTCAGAGAAATAATTTGAATTTTGTTTTCAGTTCTAATAACTTTCAAAAATTGTTGATGATTTTAAAAATTTTAATTTTCAAGATCATCAACAATTTTGATTGAATCTAAATTGAATTTTTCAATTTTTATGGACATTTTGGAAAACTTGAGAATGAAAAATATAATTTTTCATTTCTCTACTACATGAAATTTAAAACCAGAATGATATTGTTTTGTAAGTAAATTTAAAAAGTTCTTGTGTTTAATATTAGAAAATATTTCATTTTCAAATATTTACAAAACTTTTTAGAAAATTCTTTGATAAATAGTTATTGAAGTTTGAAATTTCACAGGTAAGTGTAAAAATGTATTTGGAGACAATGATTTTATGTTTATTTGACAGAAGAAAAGTTGGGATTTAGAAGTTTGTGACATTAATGCAATTTTATGATTAGTGTATCTAGGCCATTGGGAAGTAAAGCACGATTCACTGGACTTTAACTAAGTTACAATAAATCCGTACAAGTGCAGACTTGTCTCTTCGTTATCATATATAAAAAATTACAATAAAGAATAATATCACAGCTCTCGTAATTATTAAAATTTTAAAAAAAATGATATGTTGTAAGCTAGAGTACATGATTTATTTTTCTAAAAGTGATACTTTAATTTTCTTTTGCATATTTCTTTAAAAATATTTTAGGACAGTAATTGACCAGAAAGTCTCCTTAAAATTTTTATATTCAAAAGACAGAATAAAAATTGCGCAAAATTAATTTTTTTAAAAAATTATAATTAAATAGGACATGTATTGATTTAAAACTACTGTTTTATATTGTATTTTCTTTATTTTTATTTTATTTTCTATAATAAAATATCTAATTTTTTGATAAATGTTATTTTATCACAAACTAAGAGATAAAAAAAATTTTAATAATATCAGTTGACGCGCTTTTAAGATGGCAATTTATTGTCAATAAATTATTGAAATCTGCATCAAAGGTCAAATAGTTTAAATGTAACTTGAATTTAATCTTAATGAATGATTATCATCAGTTATAATTATATGGTCATTTAAAATTGTCATCTTATATACACAAATAAATTCAAAAATTAAAGAAATCAGTAAATCAAATACGCAAAAACGTTTTTAAAAAAGTTCAAATTAACAATTGTAAATAGTAAATCTAACTTCAAACTAAAATTACTTTTTGTTCTCTACTTGAAAGTAATTTGAATTGTTGTTAATAATTAATTATTTTATTTGTAAATTAATTCAAATTAAAGTAAACTAACATTCGAAAGATTTAATTCATTAATTAAATTGATAATTCAAAAATTCTGTCTGAAAAAATATTTTTCTTCATTTTCGAGTATGTATTTATATCATTCATAATTTTTTAATTTTCAGTTGCATAAAACTGATTATTTCGCATTCTGCTTGATATGGTGACTCCTCCATTTAAAAGTCTGGAATTATCAGAAATTAGTCAGCAACGGTATATTTATGTTAATAAGTTGAAAGACAAGAAGAAAAATTATTTAATTAGAAATTGTTTTTTGTGACCTATGAGAGTTGAGATTTAAATTTAAAAACTTACAACTGTCTCAAAATGATTGGGAACATTTTTTACTGTATTTTAGGCAAAGAATGGTAAAGATGAACAATTTTGAACGTTATGATATTATTAATTTAATTATACTCTCATGTCACATTATAATTTAGATAGTTGTTTAGAATTACCATAATTTATAATATATATAATTTTATCTAATTCGTGATATGTAATTATAATTTATGCTTCTATTTGTCTGGAGCAACCGAACGTTTCATTTATCGTCCTTCGGGCAACAGTCATTGAAGTGCAGTAACTTTATCGAGTTTTGTAGTAATTCAGGAGTTCAAAAATAAATTAATGCATCATATTGGATCTGCCATTTTGAATTTATCATTTTCGTATAAAATTATAATGCTACTATTTGGGTACTTTTTTAGATTTCAGCCACTAAAAGCTACTATTTCTGTTTTTCTCGAATTTCCACTACTTTAAATTCGCTGATACTAGAAATCAAAAAAACTATTCTCAAAATTATAATCAAATTCTTTAAAACGATTCAATTATTTTCAAAAAATATTCGAAATTCAATTATTTTCAATATCTAGTATTTTCAGAAAATTTCGCAACAGAATTCAATTATTTTAAAAAAATTAATAAAATTCATCCAAAATTCAATTATTTTCGTATAAATAATAAAATTTCCACAGGAATTCAATTCATTTTGAATAGCATAAAAAATTTCGTAAATATCAATTATTTAACAAAATTTTTATACAATTCTTCACAAAAATTCAATTACTTTCACTAATAATAACATTTTTCATGGAAATTCAATTTTTTATAAACATTTTTGACAAAATTCTAAGTAAGAAATCAATTATTTTCATGAATAATAAAACTCATCGAACAATTTCAATTATTTTTAATACTATTTTAAATTAATTAATCGAAAAATTCAATTATTTTCACAAATAAAGTTTTCCACAAGAATTCAATTATTTCAAATAAAACTTTTCATAATATTTATTATATTTCGAAACAATTAATTATTTAAAACAATGTTTATAAAATTCTTATGAAGAATTCAATTATTTTCAAAAATAACAAAATTTTTCACAGATATTCAATTATTTTGAGGCGTTTTAATAAAATTCCTTGCAAAATTCAATTATTTTCATAAATAATAAAATTCATCGCAGGATTTCAATTATTTTAAATACAATTTTACAGTAATTGTTCAAAAAAATGTAATTATACTTAAAAATTTCATTTCAATTCCTTGAAAAAATCAATTATTTAAAAAAATGTTTTTTAAAATTCTTTGAAGAATTTATATATTTAAAAAAATATTAGAATTTTTCACAGGAATTCTATTATTTTCAAATATTTTAATAAAATTGTTCGAAAGAAATCATTTATTTGAAAAACAATTTTAATTAAATTTTTTTTGAAATAATTCAATTATTCTTTTAGATTCTAATTAATAATATTCTTCTTAAGAATTCAATTATTTAGATAAATAATTCTTCGAAATAATTCAATTATTAAAGATAAATAACAAAATTATTCCCGAAAATTACCATTATTTTAAGGCATTTTAATAAAATTCTTTACAAAATTCAATTATTTTCATAAATAAAAATATTGATCACCAGAATTTAATTATTTTTAAAAGTAATAAATTTCTTCTTGGAAATTCAATTATTTTAAAAAATTCTAATAAAATCGTTCACAAGAATTCAATTATTTTGATAAATAATAAAATGCTTTTTAGGAATTCAATTACTTTCAAAAATAACAAAGTTTTTCACAGAATTGAATTCTTTTTAAACATTTTAATAAAATTTTTTGCAATAATTCAATTATATAATAATTTTAAATATAATTTTAAAGAAATAGTTTTAAAAGAATTCAATTTTATGTCGATAAATAACAAAAATATTCCTGAGAATTCAATTATTTTGAGGCATTTAATAAAATACTTTGCAAAATTCATTTATTTTCATAAAAAATAGCAATATTCATCACAAGAATTCAATTATTTTTAAAAGTAATAAATTTTTTCTTGGAAATACAATTATTTTAAAAAAGTTCCAATAAGATCGTTCGCAAGAATTCAATTAATTTTATAAATAATAAAATGCTTTTTAGAAATTCAATTATTTTCACAAAAAATATAATAAAATGCCACACAGACATTTAATTATTCTCAGAAATTATAATTCAATTCTTTGTAAAATTTAATTATTTTAAAAAACTTTTCTCTATTCAATGATTTTCAATATCTTCTATTTTTTATAAAATTTCCAAGCAGAATTGTAAAAAAAAAAAAATTTGTAAAAATTTTGTAAAATTTGGTAAAAATCTTGGTAAGAATTCAATTATTTTCATGAATAATAAACATTTTCTAGAAATTCAATTATTTAAATTAGAATTGGAAAGTATTAGTCGAAAGAAGGCTATTATTTAAAAATTTTCATAAAATTCTTGGAAAGAATTAAATTATTTTTATAAATATTTAAATTATTTCTTGAATAATAAAATTCGTTGCAGGAATTCAATTTATTATCAGGATAAGATAGAAGTAATTATATTTTTGATGAAAATTGGGAAAAAGTGAGGAAAATAAAAAATATGGAATGTAACTTTTTTCAGTTTTGGGAAGTGTTTAAAACGAGTTTTTTTTGGTCGTCAAGTTTAATTTTTCGATAGCTACTTTTTTTACCACTTTTTTTGTAGTTTGAAAGCTACTTTTTGCTACTTTTTTTAAATTTAATTATCGAGTGCGAAGTCTGCAATTTCAAAAATTGAAAACACATATCCACACATATAATTTTCAATTTTTATTATTTGTGTGAAAGCAGTAAATAAAATAGAAAATTCATCTCCCTATAGCTGTCAATCTCGTCAATACATAAAATAAGTAAAAGAAAAAAAAATTTTATTTATTTTTGCATGTTCTTTTCATTTTCTTAACCTTTTATTTAATAATTACATTCTCATGCTTTGATTAAGTCATAAGTTGAATTAATAAAATATTTATAAAAAAGTAAAATATTAAAATGTACGAAGAAAATTTCTGCCACAACTTAGCAGTGTTTTTACTTTTCGCACTAAACATTTAATTAAACTTAGTAAGTGAAAACATTTAAGAGTATTTCTAACGGTGCATCAAATAACTAAATTCTTCTTTGCATTTTTGCTGAGTAATGTTTTATTATATCATGGATTTATTTAGAAAAACATTTTTTTCTATGTTATTTGTATAATTTTTTTTTTGGTACAAATACATTTGAAGAAAATTGAAAATATTTGAGCCCGAGAATGCTTCTGTTTGAAAACAGAACTTTTGAAAAACC